TGAAGAATACGATTTCACGTTGAGAAAAGAAGCATAAATTATCTCAAACTAATAAAAATTTCGTTTCGCGAAAAATTCTGTAGAAAATTTCAATCCCAATAAAATATATTCGCTCGAGCGAATTTCAATTCTCCCGAAGACGAAGGACATCGAACGGAAGAATTCTCGAACGGCGCACGAAGGGAAAAAGAGACGGGTCAAAAGGAGGAAGAGGGGGAAGGAAGTTAGGAGAGCAGGGACGTCTTCTGGAATTTACGTGCTCGTAAAAATCAAGAACCGCCGGAGCTTTTGCACCGAGGTTGCCCTTTTCGTCTTCATCTAAGAGGGGAGGGGAGAGAAAACCCGGCCACTGGTCGCTCCACAGTGTCTACAACGTAAATGCGCATCGGTGAATCCTACGTTTCCTCTGCTCGTCGTTTTTTGTCGCACACAGATACACGCTTCAACGTGACATCAACTCCAACTCGAGCTCTTGAATCCTCTACACACAACTGTACACCCGAACCATCCAGCACGTGTGTATGTGCACCGAATATACACACGCGAAAATTTCTCGAAGAAATCGAGAAATGTGTTCTCGAAGCGAAGGGAGATCCGGTCAAAGATTTAAACTGGCTGCCGGTAGAGATTCCAATTTGCTCTCAATTTTTCAAACGGAGGGGGAGGAGGAAGGAGAAACGAGGTGGAGGAAAAAAGGGATAGAAGTCGAAACTGAGAGCCCCTGAGGTTTAAGACGCCATTACACCCCTAGGCTGTCGGCCGACGCCCCTAAAACTATATTAAACTCCCGGAAATCTTGCGAGGGTCCTCTCTCCTTCGCTAATTCCCTCCTTCTTCGCGTTCCTTCCGCCTACCCTTAGCCAACATCATTCCTCCTCCTCCTCCTCCTCCTCGTCCTCCTCCCCCCTCCCGCCCCGTGATCCTTCGACCCTCCGCGTTCGCCCCGAGGAACTCTCGAGAGCGGAAAACCAAGACGATAGTTTGATCGTTTCCTCCATCGGGACGAGCAACTTTTCTTCGTCCTCTTCTTCGTTCGCGAATAGTCTTGTTTTGACGATGCGCTCGACGAAGTTTCGAAAGATATTTCTTCCTCTTCTTTTTCGTATTTATCGATATGAGAAAAGGTGGAGAAAAGTTTTCCAAAATTACGAGATCGTTAAGATCGTTTGCTTCTTGATTAGCCATGATGATGATGGTGAAGTATATCCAGAATCGTCGAACTTTTTAAAACGAAATTTCCCGTAACATTTTTTTACGTTCGACAACGATCGCAAAAAAAAAAAAAAAATTCTTTCGATCTCTCTGCAAAATCTATTTCCTCCCCTCGATGATTAAAAGTATGTGATATCGGGAGAATTTCTCCAAATTGTGTTGCAAAAATGTTAGAAAATGTTATGGACGAAAATGTTGCCATCTATTTCAACGATCCTGTTTGAATTTCAAGAGGGAATAATCGGAAAAGAGAAGACGAAGGTGAGCCGGACTCTGGCTGAGGCATTGATTTCCTCTCGTCTTCATCGACCACGTTCCGACCCTCTGGGGGCGTCCCTACCCTCTAACTGAAATCCTCGCGAGAGATGGGAGAAGGAAAATCGAAGGAAAGTACCATATCTCATATTTCATATCGGTGGGGCGGCATGGATTTTCTTGCGCGTCTGCAAAGCTTCGCGTAAGCGTTACCCGACGACCGTCGAGCGAATCTTCTTTCCATCCAGAAGCCGGGGGCTTCTGTCGCGCGCGAAAAACAGGGAATCGAATCCAGCTGCTCTCAATCGAAATCCTCACCGTCCGTCTTTTATTTCGAGTCGAACAATATCTCGCTCGAGAATCCTCCATCGATCGCCCTCCAAGAATCTTCCTCGAGAAAAAATTATTCGAGCTAAATCTCGAAGTTGGTGGAAGTTGGTCCACAATTTCAATTATGAATCAGATTGGAAAAATATTACACACGATATTGTAATAACGATTGAACGATTCAACTTTTCCTCGAAACTTGATTCCTCTTTTCGATCGGTCGAACGATTGACTGAGAAACTTATTTCCCTTACGATTTAATACGAGATCGGGCCAAAAAATATTATTATTTCGATAGCAGACGAAAGATATGAGTTACGAGGATTTCTAAAAGTTGAAAATGAATTTTCCATGTTAATATATATTTTCTACATATACGACCATATTCGAGTTTTCTTTCGCTTACGAACAAAGTCATCGTCTTGGATTTTGAACGCGTAAGAAATCAAATATCGTCTTTCAAAGATAGATTCCTCCTTCGATTTTTGTATTCCTTCGAATCGATGAAAGGGCGAATTATTCGA